AATAGTGTTTGTTATTTTATCCCACATAACATTTTGTTTTTTCATGAATATCCCAAATTTTGAAATCTTGAATTTTACTCATAAAATTAATTTTATTTGTATCTTTTAAGTTTCTCCATCTAATTCTGCAATGATGAGTCCTAGTATTTTTTATTTTACAACTCTTAATCTTAAAATCTAAAACTAATAAACGATGTTGGGTATTTAAATTTTCACTTGGAATGACTTTACAATCTTTACAATCATGACGATCTCTTCTTCTCATAAGAAAATAATCAATTTGTGTTTTATTAGATCCACTCTTATAAGTAATAAGATGTTCATCCCTTTTCTTGAATAAAGTATTAGTAATAACAAAATCAAACGCTAAAGCAAAATCTAAAATAACTTTACCTTCTTCATTAGTTACTCCAAAACCGTAGCCACCATGAATATTTTTGAAATCTTCTACCACTCTACCGACATGTCCATTTAAATCTCCTCCAATAAAAATTCTTTCTTCAAGAGGTATCATTTGTATTAAGTCTTCTAAGTCATTCCAAAATTTATCTTTAGACTCTGTATCTAAACCTACTTGAGGAGCATAAACACTTATAATATTAAAAATCTTAGTATCAATGATAATCTTAAGGGCTATAATTCTATCACCAACTCTATTAATTTTTACAACATTATCTTTCAAACTCTTATCTATAATTACACCTACACCATTTCTAGTGCGACTCTTACCAGAATACCAAAGTTTAAAACCTAAATTATCAATCTCCTTAGTCTTTTCTCCCACCCACTTAGTTTCTTGAATACATAAGATATTAATTTTCCTATGAATCATAATATCAACTAATTCCATTAATTTACCATTGAGAGTGCCTATATTCCAAGATCCTATCCTAATATTAGTTTCATTAGTTTCATGGACTAACTTCTTTACCCGCATTCGCCCGTAATGTGGGAACCCTTGCTTATTTAACACTACACCCGGGCGCCGGTGTAGCGGCCCTTGCACACTTTTCACTGTATTCAGGCTATACAGCGCGTCGCTTCCAGGGGACGCCCTAGCACTTACACAATGAAATTAAAGAAAAACCAATGTTAGAAATTAATTGGGAAGAACAAGTTCTTTAAGTCTGATGTCTGGTCCAACATTTCCAATATCTTCCAACAAGCTAGAATATTCTTCTTCTATTCATAATTAAAAGATCCAAAATTTTCATTATCTTCAACAGCATAGAATATTCTATTCATATTCATAATTTAAACATGAATTGGAAAATTGACAACCTATAAAAACAAAGTGTATCTGCATGCTCAAATTTTCTGATTGGGAATTCACTTGAATGATTCTTATAAAGCTCTCGCAAAAATAAACAAATTTCAAACTCATTAGATAAAGACAAATTCCACAAGGTTTGTAACATAACCTAGAAGACATAAAATATTACATATTTAAAGAACAAAAGAATATTAAGATAAATCGTGACAAGGAACTATAGATAAAATAGGGAAAAAAAATGCAGGCTACAATTTAGCCATCATAAAGGATAAAGGCATTTCAGCTACCGAATTCCTGTGCATGGACAGATAAATGGAGTATGTACTAGTAAATGTGTCGATTAAGCAGGCTTTGTTTCATTATATTTCAGTCCCCTTCCATAAAAGTTCAGTCAGGCCAATAGGAATTGTGTAAAAATCTGGGGAAAGCACATAAATATTCATATTGTTTATTATCAACAAAAAAACAATACTAATAATAATTTCAGAAAGAAAAAATATTTGAGCATATATGAAAATATTAATGAGCATCTAATAACTAAATTGAGTGCTAAATATACTAGTTAAGAAAAAAATAATAATACATGATGGGTCAACAGTACAATATAGCATAATGCTAAAACAAATAATGCACTAACCTTAGCACGAACAACTCTTTTAAAGCTTCACAGCCATTAAATGCAAAGCGTTTCCCTACCTTCGATGTTACCATTGCTGCAAGACGTGAAGCAAACAGATTATAACTAAATCTGATGACAGATAATGGCGTTAACAATCATTGTAATATATCAACCATATCATCAATAATGTCAATTCATCATCACAATCAGCAATGCTTAAATTCTTTTGCATTTCATATTCAACATTTAAAAAATAAAATAGAAGCATAAAACCATCCTTAGCCTATCTGAAAACAAATATCAAGACAAGCCAGCACATTTTCATAACAGAAATCCCAGTGCTTTACAAACTCAGTACATCTCATCATCAAAATACTAATCTTTTTTCATATTATGTTGGCTGATTTACATACATACCACTCAATTCCTAAGTATTTACATATCTAACGCCTGAACTTCCATTTTTACATATATGTCACCTTACCTATGTATGAAAAATATGTTTTTCACTTTTTAAAAGTCAAAATAATGGTATTTTTGTGTGATATAAAAGATTTGGGTGGTATACATGTAAAAAGTAAAATGTCAGTGTTAGATATGTGAATACATAGGAATTGGGTGGTATGTCTGTAAAAGCCCCTGCCTGCTTAAGTGCATCTTTAAACATGGTCCAAAGTGCACCAGTGTTGCCAAGCTAATATGCAGGCAAAAGTGAATAACCAGATGTATTTCCTACCACATGCAATCATTTTTTTTGGGGTAAGGAATCAATATCTGCAAAAGATGTATGTACGTTTTATTAAATTTTCACATTCATAAAGAGTGATAGCTATTGCATAAATAAATGGCTCCCACTCCTACTCTTATCTGTTTCTAAAAGCATAAATAATTTGGCGTCATTTAACAAATTCCACCCATAATTACAGCATTAATATGGCGAACTTTAAAATATTCAAATACTGATAAATAGGCATTCCCCATAGAAACATAACTGCACCGTGTGACGATATAAAATAAGTTTACTCAAATATGAACACTATATAAAGACGGTCTCCATACAGCTGCATCCATTAATTACATCCATAAGCCAATAATAGAGCTTTCATAATTTTCATTACCAACTGCGAAACACATCAAAAGTAAGATATAGAAATAAGCTGAAAGAACAATGATATATGTTGATAACAACGACAAAACAAGAACTTAACAACAATAAATGAGAGGTCTTGCATTTTAACAAATCTCAACTCAAAAGAAATCAGATCACAAAATTTTTAGAAACAGAGAAACATAAATAATAAAAAATCGGGCCATTTACATACATAACGTACAATTCTTATGTATTTACATATCTAACAACTGAACATTTGTATTTACATGCATACCACACAGATCTTTAACATCACATAAAAAATACCACTATTACTATTTTTTTAAAAGTGAAATACACCTTTTCAAGCATAGGCTTACAGATGTCTTTCATGTCATGAATCCATAAAGGAGCAACCTGAAGCACTCCATGGAAGGAACTCATTTATGCTCCATAAGAAAACACAAGCAATAATTATGTGACTTGCAAGATGCACAACCATGAATCACTGAAAATTGACAGAAACAAACGTTCATTCTCAAGCCCATAAATTTTGAATACCACGGTTCATCAGATTTCTCCATCATATAATTCACAAATGACGCATGACTAAAAACAAAAAGATAAATTTCATACTTTAAAATTGCTCCGTACATTGAGTGACATGCCAAAGTCAGCCTTGATTTACAGTAATTGTAATGACAGGTTTTAAAGAAACAAAAACGAATCAAACCTTTAATGAAGCAACTTCAGTTTAGAATTGGCACCTATAATTTACACACAAAACTTCCCAAACAAGGAAAGAACAAAAATCTTCCGAATTAAAAAAATGAAAGTGAAGAACACTCTACGGACTTACACAAAATCGAGGGCCCTCATACTCGCTATGGGATTGTCCTCCACCAAGCAAGTAAAAGCCGATATCTTGTCCACCGAGGTACCCGACCTAGCAGTTGTCTCCAGCAGCCTCATATCCCCGCTCTTCTTCCTTGTCGCCTCATACTCCCTCGAGTACTGACCCAGCAACCTCTCCGACAAGTCTTTCTTCTTCGCAGCCAAATCCTTGAGCTCTTCGATCCTCATCACAGGCAATTTCTTCCCTTCATCTCCCAAAAGCCTCCTTTCAAGCTCCTCCGCATCAACGTACCAATGGCCCGAGAGCGATGTAGCTTTCATAAGAGGAAGCTTTGGGTCATTGGATTTTTTTTCATCGAAATCATGAAAGGGATTGATTTGTAAGGGGTGGGGCTTAGCCTTGGCCTTGACCTTGGGTTTGGTTCGGGAATTTTTCTCTGAGTATTTGCCCTTTTCCCCGTTATCAAAAGTAGATTGGTTGTCAATATACGAGGGCTTGAGAGGTCCAGATTTACGGAAATCGGAGTCGTCAAATCCTCCACCGCCGCCGCCGCCGCCGGAGGTCGAAGACAGAGGGAGACAAAGCCCGAGGGAGGAAGCGAAGGAGGATACGTCGGATTTAATGAGCTCGATCTCTTCGGCGGTGGGCTTCGTTGGTTTTGGAAACGCCGGCATTGCTTCCGCCGAAGCGATGGGGAAGAGATGGTGAAGCAGAGGAAAAGAGTGGCGCAGCAGAGGAAGGAAGGAGAGGATGAGCTCGATCTCTTTTAGGGCAGAAAAAATAAAGGTATGTTTTTCGCCGACATCGAATATTCCGCTTCGAATTCTTTCAATTTTAGGTCGAAATAAAGAGATTATATTATTTATGTAAGGGTAAAATTTTAAAAGAGGCGAATGGGCAATCAGAAGCTCCATAATGCGTTTTAATTAAAAAAAAAAGTGGAACATGGGATTAATTCACTAGATAGTATGGACAAAATTATTCAAGCACATTTTCAAAAATTAGTAATTTGCATAAAATATATCTAAATTTCAATGACCCGCCCTAAGAGTCGAACATGGAGAGTAGGCTGACCAACATGCAAATGCTCCACACTTTTAACAGGTGTAAATATCTTAGTATTTTAACACGGATGGGCTTTATGGATATGCTTAACACTTTATACAAATTTGATAGCATAGAGCCTTCTAGAGAGTACTGCAAAAATGCAGCTGACTCCATAAGTAGTGATAAATATTGTAAATGTATTCGTGAATCTGATGTATTAGAAAGAAAAAATATAAAATATACGCTCTAACATGACACAAAAAGTAGAATAATTCAATGCCTTGTAAGATTATCTATATAAGGCCAATTTAAACTAACGAAGACCTATAATAGTATGAGATTGAGAGTGACTCATTCTAAATTTTGTCATGACCTCTTCATCTTTGAGTTGATGGACATACTCATTTATCTCTAGATGTCTTCTGAATTAAACATCACACCAATCTGATCAATTAGACCAGTATAACTCTAGGCCAACGAAAATAGGACCAATTGGGGTCTTTCTGTCAACTATAATGACAAGAATAATTTATATATCCTGTAGCATGATGGTCATCTGACTTGCAAAATAATAAAAATTTATTATCACATTATTAACTACAAATATATAAATAACATAAAATTTAATACGTACGTATATTAACAACATCTAGATGAAATGTAGTAGTCAGAGGACACCATTGCTCCACCATTGCAGTTATCAAATGATGGTCAAGTCAGATAAATTGTAAGTATTGAACAGAATCAAACCCTTCAATTTGTAATGCTTGAATGAATTGTGGGCATCGAACTGGCCTCACAAATGTTCAATGTACATGAGTGGTGTCTCAAGTATCGTCCCTCATGGTCGCAGTTATTATAAATTTTACATTGTGTGTACTATTTATTCCTGTTTCATTCATTATATTTATAATCATATTGGATCTTGGTCAATCACAACCTCTTTTAAATAATGGAGAGAGTAAAAGTAGCATACCTTGCTAATGATTGTGTTGGGGTCATACATCATTCTTTGGTATCGTATGAAATAAAGCCTTGCATGTCTGTCTATAAAATTCTATTAAAAAATATTTCAAAACAAAAATTATATGGTCTAAATTTCATGTACCAAATGCTGCAATTGAATGTACACACAGGACATCATATATTTGTGGCTTTTTGCATGTGTAAAAACACTGGTCTGATGAGAAAATATCCACTCAAAATACCCTGCAGCTCATATAAAAGACTTGATACTCGAGTAGGTTGATACAAATGGCTGTGGAAAATGTTGGGTTTCACGTTTGGATCTTTATAGTCACTCTTGTACGAAGAATAAATATTTTATTGTTTGATTCAATCCACTATAAAATATTGTTCGCACATTTTAGAAATAATGCAACTAAATGAATATGTTATACCTTGGATCGTGAGGCTTCAGTCATGTCTTAGAACCTCATTAAAATATTCAAAAGCATTTATTGTCATAGTGTCAAACCTATAAGCCCCATCATGTACCAATGATCAGTTCTTAATGTTCCCGCTAAATTAGCCAATCAAATGCTTTCTTTTTAACATTTTATATCTCACACATGTGTTTGTTGAATGTATACTCATCATCAGCGTTTCCTGCCTAGTTCATTTATCACATTTCATATCAACACAAGCAATTGCAGGTCAACGTAATATTAAATTTCATCATATAAAACAAAGAAAAGTAAGACTTCTCATAACTCTGGAAAATTAACTTTATCGCCATTCTATGTGCATCTCTAGCCTTAATATAGATAATACAAAACGTTTTGATTCCATACGTCTAATAATTTCTTTTGGCTTAAAATTGAGTTTTTGTCAAAAAAATAGTACATGTCTAATGACAAATAAATCTTGAGATACAATTTCAAAGACTACTCTACATAATTGGATAGGTACTCATATGTAGCCGCCAATGACAGGGATGTGTTGAGTTATCGTATTGCACACATTGTACAGTTAGCCTTTTTTCTTATGCAATGTCTTTCAATACTTAATATTTTTAATAATGGACCATCTATTGTATACACACTAAAGCTGTTATTTGTAATAAAATATCATCCCATCTTCAAAACCATCTGTAATTATATCTTCTTCAAATATGCATAACTGGATGGATGGAGTATCACAATTGTCTACTGCGTCTCACTCCCCGGTCGATCGAGTTTGATTAACATGCTCATTATTCTCTCTCATCGAGTCAAGAATATTTGCATTCAATATTGATTGTCAGTATAATATATCATGTCACCTATGTCTCGCATTCTGATACACACACCATGACCATCTTCAACTTCTGACCCGCTTCAGACTTCCTTACCCCACTATCCATAGTTTGATATCGACTTTCACGAATATCCATACATGAACCCAACAAATGGTTCCCGGCTGAAGGGTTAGACATTTTTGTTGATATAAGGATGAAATGAATGTGTTAGGTTGAAGTACTGACATAGAACGTTGTCAACCATTGCTAGATCATGTCGGCTAGATCATCCAATTTTGAATGTGCTCAATGATTATAGAGTGGGTCTGTTTGTCAAATAATTTATAGAAATGGAGTTACAAGGCCTGACCTGTAATTACGCAGATTTTTATATTCCAAAATATGACAAAAAACTTGACACTAGCGACTAGTGTGAATAAATGAAATGTTATAAATTATAGAATAATAGCTTTCACACTAGAAGTACTACACAAGTAAATCCTTTTAAGTTCACAACATAAAACTAATACAAAAATACAAATACATATCTCAAACTCTTCCCCAAGCAATCCTTTTAAGTTCCATAACTTCCTTGACTATATTAGACTCTTACAAGACTTACAACACTTTAGTGGTAGCCACCCATTCTAATGGAGGTCTACACTAATCACTCTTGCACACACATGCACACGTTAGCACCCCCTATCACTCTAGCACTCTCTTTTCGTTTCAACTTTATCTCTATATGTAAAGCTCTGAAAATCATCAAGGGTTGCTTCAGACACCTCTTCAAAATTCGACCAAATTCATTGAATAAAAGGGGTAACCATTGCTTGCCTAAACCCAAATTAATTATAAATGATTTTTTTTAACAACAATTATATTCTTTTAAGGATATAGATACATTATTTGTATGGAATCAATGTGAAGTATTCACAAATATGCATTTAAGGCAACGACGATGAGGTGAGCATATTAAAGATCATGAATTAGATATACATTTATCACATAAGGAAAACAAATGTAGTTGCAAATGCAAAAAAATGTAAAGATAATTGGTAGTAAAAAATTTGTAGTTTCACTAGTTAAAGGTATGTAACGCTTATAATTATCAATAGTGTCATCAAATGATGAAAGTTTTAAACCGTTGAAGTAAATGCTAATTCAGTCAATCTAGAATGATAGAATAGAAGATGCATTATTGCATGATGTTGAGTTTACAAAAAAAATTTAGACGAGAAAATGCAGGTTAAGTGGAAGAGTATGAAATTGATGAAGAAAAACTGGTGAGTACAAAAATAGAATTTTGATGATTTACGAAAGAAAATTTTGCATGAATTACAATACTCAAGGTATGCAATAATTCAAGAAAGCAATAAGATGTATCATAAGCTCAAATGAATATTCTAGTAGCCAGGGTTGAAACACAATATAGTAAAGTTTGTGGCAAAATGTTGTACTTATTAAACAAAAAGATGAATATCAAAAGTCTAGTGGACTATTGCAAGCATTATCAAACAAAGAATAGAAGTGGGAACCCATTGCTATGGATTTTGTGATTGGATTACTAAGATCAAAACAAAGTAGGAAAGAATGATCCAAATACAAAGAGGTGCTAGATTAAGTAACTATGAGCTCTATTACGAGGAAAAAACTAGCAAAAGCTTACTTGGGTGCGAGAGACACTCGACTGAGGGTCTTTAAGCTCAATTTTGAAGGGAAAAGGCTCGCAACGAAAAGAATTGAGGATTTCCAACTTACTTCAGAAATTTGAAACTAATTCTAATTATTTCCTCTATATTTGGTCATAGAAATCGATTTCAATTCAATTAAGAAGAAATTTCAAAAATTCTACATGAAGTTTTTTTAATTTTTGTTAAAATTCATCTAAGATACTTGGGGAGAAGACTAAATTAGACAAGAAAGAGTGATATTTTTGGTACTAAAGCATTTTTCAATAACAAGTGAATATATTGTTAACTTTGAGTGAAATTATGCTAGATTTTTAAAACCCCTAAATTAAAACATGTAATTGCAAAGAGCGAGATTTTAGGCATTTACTTTACAAAATAATTTGAAAAGTTTCTCAATAAATATTATTATAATTTGCTATCAAGTATAATAATATACAATAACAAAACAAAACTGCTAAGTTGGAATTCAAATGAATGAATTTAGCGCTAATTATACATACTTAAAGTTAAGTGAGTTGAAAAAAAAATAATTTCAAAGAGGAAAAGAAACATTTAAATATGAAGTGATAAATAATAAGTTAATTAGATAAAAGACAAATGAATATGTCCGAGTTAGAATTAATATGAAAGAAACATAGAAATAAATAGAGAGCGATCAAAATCAATATGCTATTATAGATGCACCAAATGACTAGTAGACATTAAAGAACAAGATAACCGACTGTAATTAATATGTAGATAAATATATTTTTATATTATAATAGTTTATTTATTTTTGCTCACGAAAACATTTATAATTGCTTTAACTCTTTCCAATGCTTCTTTTAAAAGTACCAAATTTATGCTTTTTAAAAGTTAAATAAAATAAAAATGAAATATTATATATATATAGGAAATAGAATAGTTTACTTTTTTTTTTTTTGTAGATTTTAAAAAAGGTTATCAAATATAAACTTTTAATATACAATTAGACGTTGGCACTTGATTATGAATGTTTTAAGAGAATCAAATAAAGTAACAATAAAATTCATTTTTTTTTCACTTATTTTTTTGCCTATTGTCTTTTTATAAAAACATTTAAAAAAATGTAAACAATTATAATTTAAAAGCATTTTACCCACTGAGTAATTTAACTCGTATTTCTATTTGCTAATATTTTTTTTTTTCAAGAAAACCTTCTTTAGAATCGATGGATCCTTAAATTATACGCACAGATGCTCAGGGAGATTGATACAACATTTTAATTTATTTTCTTTATTAGTTGTAAAAGTTTTGAGCTGTTGTAAATTAAAATTTTACGAAATAGAAAGACACTTATGTTTTAGTAGAAATTAAAATATTTAAATAATTCTTCGTCCGCCGGACCGTCCATTCACATCTTGGCATTTCAAGCTCTCATACTGGGAAAAAATTTGCGTACGTAAGACGTACGTAGAGCTGCGTACATTGTGGAGGTTATATAAGGGGTATAATGGGGTTATATCCGTGTTATACCCCCTTGTAACTTCCATGTAACCTACCTGTAACATTCAAATAAGTTTTTACTATATGAAAAGAGAAGCGCAAAACTTATTTATAGGTTACATGTAGGTTACAGAAGGTTACATGTAGGTTACAAGGGGGTATAACGCAGATATAACCCCCATATACCCTCTATATAACCTCCAAAAACGTACGCAGCGCTGCGTAGGTCTTACGTACACAATTTTTTTCCCTCATACTAATTGTGATACCATTTTTATGAGGGTTTTAAAAATCATAGTTGCAATCAATCATCGAATCTCAAAATTAAGAAATTACAAACTTCGATGATATGCACATAAATCTAGATAAAAACTAATGCAAATCTTAAAGCAAACCTCCATATTCAATGCCCGTATTCTGATGCACTCAGATAATCTCCATGCTCTTGAAAATACTGAACTAACTGTTTCAAGAAGTCATCCTGAGAAACAGTTTCAGTATCGCAGACCAGACAACACTGCCTTCTGGAACGAGTGATTGCCACATTCATGCGACGATGATCAGTGAGAAAGCCCACCTGCAAGACATTTTTAGGGTTAAATTTGTGCTTCAGGGAAGAGCAAAGCTTAATGAACAAGTAGAAAATGCAGAACAGACAAACAACCAATTTCTTACCTCCTTTTTTAGGTTTGAACGGACCATGGAAATGATGATGGCTTCTTTTTCCCTACCTTGGAATCCATCAACTGTAGAAATTTCAACATCTTTCAATTTGGCTTCTGTACCACGCAAGACCTTAAGATATGTGACCTATGCCATGCAAGTGGGACAATTCAGATGATACATATATATATATATATATATATA